TCTCTCTCTCTTTCTCTCTCCCCCCCTCTCTCTCTCTCTCTTGCTTTCTCAACCCCTCGCTCTTTCTTTCTATCTTTGTCGTCTCTGTGTCCTTTAGCGCGTACGCTGATTTTCTCTTATGGACGTCTAGAAACAGCACTTTAGTTGATATTTCTTTGTTCCAAAACGAACATAAACACTGCATATTAGCTATGTTCCCAGATTGAGCATTAAGTGTAGAATTCTGTGGTAAAAAATTAGCCTCCCCAAAAACTACACATCCTTAATTTATACGCAAGTGCCATACTATTAGACGAAAGTTTATCATAGAGAAACTTTTGAAGCTTTCCAAAATTATCTTGACCATAACTTTTAAAACATGTCTTTTAATGATAGGCCTTAATGAATCAAGGGTGACCTCAATTGTTTATTATTTTCACCTCAATATAAAATGAACTGCAGGTCTAATCTGGGAAGACTATTTAATTGTTGTCGTCAACTTCCGCTTTCTCTTTTGGACTCGCAGAACTGTTCCTCCCATCTCAGACTGTTGACGTTGCCTATACTATAAAGGCTTACAAGTCGTTCAGTAAAACAACCTGTGCTTGGCTTTTTTTTGCCTCTCAAGTAAATCAGAATTATAAGGAAAAAAAAACAACAACATGGTGTGTTGTCCATGTTTCTTGATCCCCATTTTGATTTGGGTATTCCAAAAGTTCATCGGCCCTTGGCTGTCGAAGATCTGGAGCAAGCCAGAGGAAATGGTGAAGAATGTTGAGAACAATCTTGTTTGCCCAATGCCGAAAAGAAAGAAACCGGTGGATAAATCGATGGAGGTAACAGAATTACATATCATCGTAATGATCAAGATCTAGATTTTAATTCGAAGTGGCTAGCTGTACTTGACTTAAGTACGGCTAGCCTGAGAGTCTAGCCGTACTTAGACTTAGACTGTCTTAGACTTAGATCTAGATCTAGGGAAGGACTTCCGTAACAAGCGACCACCCCATCAAACACAATAAAGAAGAGGCCTAAACCTAAGCCTACCCCTATCCCTACTCCTAACCCTACCCCTAACCCTACCCCTACCCCTACCCCTACCCTTACCCCTACCCCTACCCCAAGCCCTCAATTCTGTTCTGTCTCATAGTGGTCGCTCGTTACGGAAGTCCTCCCAGATCTAGATCTAGGTTTGGCCCTATCGACTCGAACCTGTTGAGTACACAGGTCTCATTAGATCTAGATATCTAGATCTAGAGTAGTTATTCAGGTTTAAATAATGCAAGTCAGTAAGACACCTTTTTTTGGTTTTGTCTGAAATACAAATACTTTAGGCTTTGCAAACTAAAAATTTCATTTACAATTCAACCATCAAGTACGGCTAGCCTGACAGTCTAGCCGGCTAGCCTAGCAGTACAGCTAGCCAAGAAGTCTAGCCGTACTTATTTTAGGCCCTATGAACAATTTAGAAAACAGGAGGTTTAAAATACGTGCACTGTCATTATTAAGGCACCTGGTTACGTCTCAAATACAAATACTTTAGTACTGCAAACTAAAAATTTATTTACAATTCAGTAGGCCCTTTTTATGATCAGTCTAGTCGTCATATTAAGAATAAGAACGGCTAGCCCAGCTGTCTAGCCGTACGGCTAGCTAACCAGGCTAGTCTAGCAGTCTAGCCGTCATTAAGTACGGCAAGCCTTTTCCATTTTAATTGTGATCCCTTCGATTTAATTCCTCCTCCTAAAAATGGCTTGGGTTCTAAAACGAAGAATGAAATTAGGTAAATTCTTACTTTTAGACCCACAGGCAGATCATTCAGTTCACTGTTTTTGGGGGCTAATAAAGTACAGTCATTTTTATTGTAGAACATGATGTGGGGCAGCGTGGTGGAATCAGGCTCTCTTCAAAATAATCAAAATGAAGAAACTTCCATTTTTCCGCAGGTTTATGAATTTTTATGAATTTTTGTTTTTTGGCTCAACACCATTCATGCCCATTAAAGAACTCATTTCTGTGTGGGTTTTTCTGAAAAACGTTGATTAAAGACACACAAAATGAAAGCCATTTTCTCACTAATTTTACCTCTGAAAACAGGTGACCCCCACCTCTTTCTTTAGCAAATATCTCGATTGGTATTCAAGATAAATGGATACTTTTTTCATCCAAATAAAGACAAGTGAACAAGCTTTAAGATGATACCAATAACTCTACATGACCAAAAACTGACGAGAGCCTGATTCCACCACAATGCCTCACATATAGTAGTGTCAATTGCGGCTGGATTGTACTTTACCGGACAACCGGTCTGGGCCCGTGATTACTACGCACGCCTAGCCTAACTACTAGGCACTCCTAGTTCTCTACGTGCGGACAAAGGGTAGTTCCGCAGAGCGCAAGCCAGCGGCGACTGGCGAGGCGAGGTGAGCGACAGGTGGTGGTTGAGGGTGGGTAGGCTATTTAACTTTTTTTTTTTTATAGTAGAGGGTTTTACAGCGCTCGCAACTGCATAAGGTCATATTTAACTTTGGTGGACCCACCGTGTATATATATCATACCAACAGTGGGGGGGTCCAGGGGGGCAAGGAAACAATAATATATAAGGAAAACCATGTACAAATGCAAAACATTAACAAGAGCGGATAATCTTTTTTACATATCGCTATATATTTATAACAACAGTGGGGGGTTTCAGGTTGGCAACAATAATTTAAAAACACACGCACGTAAATGCAAAACAATAACATGAGCGGACCATGGAGCTAAGTGGGCAATCGGGGAAATTAGAGTAGAGTTGGAACAGGCCGAGCCTTGCTTCACAGCACTCGTCAAGTCGCGAGCAGGGCCGAGGGGGTTGCAATATGCAAATGAGCTCTCGTGTGCATCTCTCGCCCTCCATTGTACTTTGCCGGACCAGGAGTAGGCCTAGACGAGCAGAGTTGCGAGCCAATAAAAATTGTGGACCACGTGATTAGATTGACCAGTTAGCCTCAAGGTGTCAGGGTCGTGGGTCAAAGGGCACGGTCATGATGATTGAAGAACCCGGTAAGAGACGTTAGTCGCTAGTTCGCAGTCGAAGGGTGAGGACGTAGGAGAGTGAGCAGGGGAGCTCGGAAAGGAAGAATAGTGGACCACTAGGCCTCAGGGGCGCTAAAGCGAAAGTAGTTCCGACCGGCGGTTATCGACGTTCCCGGAGTTCCGGTAAAGTACAGTCTTTCCTCAATTGCCACCGAGGGAAGCGGTGTCAAGTCTGAAAACAACGCTCTATCTTTATCTTTCTATTCAGAATGATAATGTGTTACAAACACATGACATGAATAAGTTATAGATCTAGTTAATGAGCTCAACTTGCGTACGAGACCTCCGATATTTTTTGCCCTTGTCTGAGAAGGCAAAGTGTTTAGATCTTTCCTACCAGAAGAAATTGGTGTGGCTGAAAGACAGAGTATGAAGGAGCCAGTAGAAAGGCTGTAGAAAGAGTCAGGAGCCCAGAGGAGGGGGAAAGGGGGTGAGGGCAGGAAAGCCATGTGAAAGGAGAACATTTTGAGGAAGAAAATTTTCCGTCGCTATCGGGATTCAAACCCGGGACCTATTGAATGAGAGGCGAACACCTTAACCTCTAGGTCACAAAATCCCCCCCATTGTTGTCTGTAACTCTTGTGGCTAAAGTATTACATTGTGGTCTCTGCCACAAGAGTTACAGACAACAAGGGGGGGGGGGGGGGGGCTCTAGTGGCCTAGAGGTTAAGGTGTTTCAGCGCCTATAAACTGCTGCTTGCGCTGTATGCTTCCCAGGAAGTTGAGGTTGTTTTAGAATGCTCTCAGGTCTGCTGGGGTAATAGCAGATATTGTGAAGTGCATAGAGCTTGCTGTTGAGTGGGGATTTGCGCTATACAAATGCTATCTATTATTACTATTATATATATGTGAGACATCGTGGTGAAATCAGGCGCTCGTCAAAATTACAAAATTAGAGAAGCAATCATTTTCCCACCAGTTTTGCAATTTTAATCACATTTTTGGTATTTTGTTCAACCCTTTTATGTCCAAATAAAAATATAATTCCCATGTGAATTATATTGAAAAACGTTGATTAAATCTGTAATTTTTTCAGTTTTCATGGACTCTTTAGCTATTAAAGTTACCAAACGTTGGCTACTATTTTCTTGTTATTTTTACCGTTGAAACCAAGTGAACTTACCTATTTCTATCACAAATATCTTCACTTCTGCTCAAGATAGAGATGGGTATTTTTTTTCATCAAATGCAAGATAAATCATAAATGAACAAAACAAGCTTTAAGATGATACCAATAACTCAACGTGCACAAAAATTGACGAGCGCCTGATTCCTCCGTGTCGTGACACATATACATATATATATATATATATATATATATATATAACTTTTGCCCCCCCCGATGTCTTTGTGCATCTATGTCATATTGAGTCTCATCTGTTTCTTGTTGAAGTAGGACTTAGCTCCAACTCCAATGATCATCATCCTTGCCTTTCTCACCCTGGATCAGGATATAGGCCACGAACAAACACTTTCCACTTTTGTCTATCCTGGGCTAGTCGTTTGATGTCACTCCATGTCTTAACTCCAATGTTACCTTTTCAATTTTCGGTAATCTCAGATCTAGGTTAAGAAGCATGTTTGAAATGTGGATGGGGACTCAACTTTTACTCCGTTTTTTTTTGTTACCCAATTGAAAACAAATAATTCCTTGACATCGCACCTATGACATTTGAAGGTGTCTACACCTTCCCGTGACAATTGTGAGACCTTGACCAAGCAAGCAGATCTTCTTTTTTGTGTTTGATACTCTCTTGTAAGAGCTCTAATCTTCGGTACTTATATGACCTTATTGTGTTGCAAGTGCCGTAAAACTCTTACTAAAACTAAAGTAACTTTCTGTGAGCCAATGAAATGAGAGGAAGGGAATGACGTAGGAGTCAGCTGTGCGCTCGTGAGATTTTCTACTTTCCACTTTCATTCTTCTTCTTGCCTTCACACTGTGAACACGTTGATCAAGGGAGATGACCATGTTTATTTTTAAAATTTTCTTTTTTATTTCCCTTGATTTTTTTCTCTTTTTCGTTGTTGTATTTGGGGCTTTCAAGGACAGGATGAATTACGAAAATCTCTAACACTATTTCCAATCCCCGACAAATTCGAGTTACCTGTGTTTGACTGTATAATATGTGACACGACGCGGTGGAATCAGGCGCTCGTCAATTTTTGGGCATTTGGAGTTATTGGTTTCATCTTAAAGCTTGTTAATTTGTGTTGCTTTTAATGAAAAAAATACCCGTGTATCTTGAATAAAAGTCAAGATAGATGCGGTTGAAGAAGGAGGGGTCGCCCGGTTTCAGTGGTAAAATTAGCGAGAAAATAGCAGCCAAAGATTGACAATTTCATTAGCTTGAAGAGTCCTTGACAACGATAAAATTGCATATCTTGTTCCTTCAATTAACTTTTTTCTACGACATTCATGTGGAAATGGGTTATTTTTTTTAATGGGCAGGAAAAGTGTTGAGCCTGAAATAAAAAATTCAGTAAAAATTGGAGGAAAATGCCTGTTTCTTCGATTTCATTATTTTGACGAGCGCCTGATTTCACCACGATGCCTCACTTATGCCCAAAAATTGACGAGCGCCTGATTTCACAGCTTCTTTACACAATTTGTAAATTTCTTTTCTGTTTTTTCTTGTGTTATTTTTTTTTCCTTTTCATCAACTTTTCTTTTCTTTTTCTCTTGTAGGATGTGTCAGCAACAGCGGTGGGAACAGAAGAAGACAACGATTTATCAAAAGCCAACGGATGCCTGTCCAGTGGAACGTCAGATTGCAACTCATGTCAAGGACAGAGACTGAAAGCGGAATGACACCCTGTTTTGTTTCCTGTTTAACCCTATCCGTACGTCCTGGGATCATATTGTACCCCCGGGGTTGTATTCTTCACATTTTAGAATACTTCTAGTATGAAGATCTCTTTGAAACTTTCCGTATTTCTCAAAAAATCGTTTTGACAGACTGCTCTATGCAAAGCGTATAGATCGGATCAACGAGTAAATTTCCTTTTTTGGAAAGTGGTGGCACAGAGTTCCCCTCGTCGTATGAATACGATAGTAAAGCACGTATGGATACAATAGTAAAACACGACGTACGGATAGGGTTAATTAATCCGTTTACTCTAAAATCCTCAATGAAATACAGCCAACTTACGTGAAATGGGATCAAATTGATTCTATTGCACTGACATGTTGTCAGTTGTAGTGAAAGATTTCACGAGTTTTCAATTGTGTCATGCTGATACTAGTGATACACCAATGGTGCTGTTAATTTTCACTGCCAGCTGGTGGATAGATTGAGGATTGAAGATTGTAACCCATGCCTTTTTGATGATAGATTGAATAGATTGAGGATTGAAGATTGTAATCCGTGCCTTCTTGATTCTTGCGTCTGTTGGTTATTGGAAGAGATGTTTTAATTATTTCAACAGCTGGTATGCATACTTTACTTTACTTTTAGATATCTATTTATTTCAGTGCTGATAATTTTCCGCGGATTTCCGCTTTTTTTGTCGTTTCCGCAATATTACTTCAAAAGGCAAGGTATGTGTTATGTTATTGTATGAGAGTTCTATGTTGAAATTTTGGGATTGCAATGGGATCGGAATATTTTCCTCTTATTTTACTTTTTTCTCTTGATCAGTACTGTTATTTCTTCCTCTGGTATTTTTAGGATGGTGAGGGGAGGTGCAGGTTTGGGTCCTGTGCTAGGTGTGTGGCGTCTGTGATAAAGATATATGATAAATGTTACGTTGTTCCCGCACTTTTTAAAACCGTTTATCCCATCTTCTAGCCAGGTCTTTCTTGGTCTTCCTCTTGATTTGAAGCCAGAATCTTGGCGGTTTTGCAGAGACTCCTGATTTCGCATGCATTGATTTTTCTTTCTTGTGATTTATTTACTGACCATGTTTGGTGCCGGTTATTTGGGGTTGTGGTAGGAGAATACTATTGATAAGCTGGGCTCTCACTTTGACTGGGATGTTCTTGTGACTGAGCGGGGGTGCTAGCTGGTAGGTCACTGCATTTGTCTCCACTGTTCTCGTTTCTATTTATTTGTCTATGGGCCCGTCTAGTGTGAAAATGCCTCCCAAATATTTAAATTCCTATACGTGTGGGAGGTGTGGTCCGTCAATAAGGATGCTGAGTTTCCCTGGGTTTCTGCTGACCTTCATAACTTGTTTTTGACATGGTGGAGATAAAGTGCCTTGACGTCCTGCCTTCAGCAATTGTGCAATTGTCCTGACTGTTACACCTTATTCTGTCCCCGTGGTTTTATGCACCTCGCATAATTTAACAAAATTTGATCATTTTTTGCATACTTTCTGATTATTTTCCTGTATCATTCTTTGTTAGAATGAACAGAATCGCATAATTTCACCTTTTTGGGCTCAGTTTGCATAATTTCAAAAATTTTTGTGTGCCTAAAACAACGGGGACAGCATATTCCTCTAGAACTCCCCAGAGTTGACGTCTGTTCCCCGGGCCCACCGTCTGTTCCCCCGGCCCACCGTCTGTTCCCCCGGCCCACCGTCTGTCATGGTGTTTGTAATTTATTCAAAACTTTTCATTGTAGGCCTATCATTACATTGATGTGGAGAATGTTTGGTGTGGATTATATGTGAGGCATTGTGGTGTCACCAGGCACTTGTCAAAATAATGACATTGAAGAAAACAGCATTTTTCTTGTTTGTTTGTTTGGTAAGTGACTTTACGGCGCTCGCAACTGCATAAGGTCATATGAGCGCGCGGGACACAACTAATATTTTCAGTTGGTAGGAAATTTTGAATTTTGCCCGGGTGGCGGCCGAAGCCTACTCTTATCGATCTTTTTCGCCCTTGTCCGAGAAGGCTAGGTGTAGATCTTTCCTACCAGAAGATCAGGGGTGTGGCTGAAAGACAGCAGTTAGAAGGAGCCAAGAAGTAGCAGTAGAAAGGCTGCAGAAAGAGTCAGGAGCCCAAGAGAGGGGGCAAAGGAGGTGAGGGGGTGTGGGCAGAAAGTGGAAACGAAAGCAGACAACAGATTATATCTGGACAGCAGGAAAGGAGGTGAAAGGAGACACTTTTAGAGAAGAAAATTTTTCGGTCGCTACCCGGATTCGAACCCGGGACCTTTAGAATGAGAGGCCAACACCTTAACCTCTAGGCCACGAGAGCCCCCGACGTTGCATTTTTTTCCCCTCGTGGCAGTTTTTATTGAATTTTTGTTTTTTGACTCAACTCCTTTTATGTCCGTTTAAAAAAAAATTCCTGAGTAGATTTCACCGAAAAACGTTGATTAAATATATATATGTTAATTTACAGTTTCACTGCACTCTCCAGCTTTGGAAGTCCCCAAACTTTGGTGGACATTTTCTCGCTAATTTTACCTTGGAAACCAAGTGACTCCCACTTCCTTCAATCCAAAATATCTCCACTGCTATTGAAGATATTGGTTTATTTTTTCATGGAAAACAAAAGGGAAGGGGGTTCCGTTAAAAAAAACTACTGGTAAAACTGAACTATTTTTTGTTTAAAAGTCAAACTCAAAGATTTGTTACCATGTATATATATTTGCGTATAGTGTTCACTCTGACCCCTGAGAGTGATGTCCTTGATGACTCTGGAGTTTTATTTTGAAAGACAGTATATTCCAGTTTCGTAAAATGTTCAGAAGAGCGGAAAAAAACCGCTTCTTCACCTCTCATCAGCGAGTTACTATGAATAGCTTGACTCTTTTCCCGCTTTATTTATTCAGGTATCTCTGATATACCATACCAGACTGAAGCAGAAATGTGCGCTGTGTTTTTAACTAATGTAAACTATCAGTATCAGGTGGAATCTATAATAAATCTGTTTGGTCCAAAACTGGACATACTGTCTTTTAAGATAAGACTCCAGAACTCATCCCTAGAATCAAGGTTCTGACTCGGTGATGCAATGAAGCTCATGTGATGCGATGTATAAATTAAATTTAAAAAACTGAAATATCTTTGCTTGTATTTATTCAGAAATACGTCGTACGTTTATTCATGTTTTATGCTGTGTGTGCTGTGACTGTGATGCAGCTACATAAATCTTTTATTTCAGCATTTTGTGTCTGGTTGAATGTTTCCTTACCTATTTACTCATTACTGTTCTTGTTGTTACAATTGAAATTAGAAGGATCAACCTTTAGTCGTGAAATTAGTTGGTCCAGCTTGGATAAGGAGCAATAGATTAGATCAGACATATTTCCATACTGTGTGCCTTGTAGGGCCTACTACTACTAGATGGTCATTGTGCTTCTATTCCTTCATGCTGTCAGCCTACAAATGTTACAAGATGACAAGTGTACAGTAGTTCTGATGCAACCTTCCACTAGAGTTAGGAGAGAATGAATAACAGCAGCAACAATCAACAGGGTGGCCTTGGATATTCTGAGGCGTGTGTTGAGGAATTCTCAGTCTATAATTTATACCCGTACATCATGTATACGTTTACAGCATGATTTTGTCCATTCTGCCGGTGGTGGCCACTTTGAGCATTTGTAAAACATGAAATAAAAACTTGAGATATACAACAAGTGTCCAAGCTAGAGTTTTCTGTTTTTGAAGTGTCGCTGGGTGATTTTGGCATTCTTTATTAATCACCCAGTATACTGGCCCAGATAAGAATTAAAATTAGTTTCCGATATCTATGCATTCATGATGAATTGTAATTGTACATGTACCAGTTTAAAATGACTAACTCTCCACTAAATATGTCAAAATTATGTCCCAGATAAGGATTAGTTCTCAACTAGATCTAGATATCTAAATGTGAGACAGCTTGGTGCAATCAGGCTCTCGTCAAATTTTGGGGTGGTAGAGTTTTTGGTATCATTTTAAAGTATAGCTTGTTCAATTGTCTTTATTTTGGTGAAAAAAATATCCGTTTATCTTAAAATACAAGTCGAGATATTTGCGAAAGAAGGAGGTGGAGGTCACCTGTTTTCAGAGGTAAATTAATTAGTGAGAAAATGGCCGCCAAAGATTATTTATTTCCTTAGATTAAGAGTCCGTGGTAATTGAAAATTTACATTTTTTGTGCCTTTTATCAACGTTTTTAAGAAAAGTTTCCACAGAGATCAGTTTTTTAATAGGCATGAAAGGTATTGAGCCAAAAAACAAAAATTTGATAAAGATTCATAAACCTACGGAAAAATGCAAGTTTCTTCACTTTGAGTATTTTGACAAGAGCCTGATTCCACCACGCTGCCTCACAAATATTCTCTAAATTTTGTCCCAGATGAGAATCTGGGCCTGAGCTATAGCCTACATTAATTGTACATGTACTGTACCATAGGAAAAGCAGGAAGGGAAAACGTTGTTTATCGAGAGCGAAGAAGCTGATGTGATTTACATGTAGGCCTACTTCATTTGTTTGTTGTTTTAGTATAGGTTTTTTATGGCGCTTACAACACAATTAGGTCGTATAGTGCCAAAGATTAAAAGTGTGACAGTTTAGTTTTAGTAGAGGTTTTACAGCGCTCGCAACTGCATAAGGTCATATGAGCGCCAGAAGATTAGAGGTGTTACAAGAGAGTAACAAACATAAAAAAGAAGAAGGGGAGATGAGGACGATAGATAATTATGTTTTATAGTAGGAAAGAAGAAGCAAACCACACCAGAGCACCCGCCAACCACCCACGTAGGTTATAATTGTCTTTTATAGTAGGAAAGAAGAAGCAAACCACACCAGAGCACCCGCCAACCACCCACGTATAGGTTTTATGGCGCTTACTTACAACACAATTAGGTATTTTTGTGCCAAAGATTAAAAGTGTTACAACAAGAGAGTAACAAAAACAGACAAGTAAAGCAGGAGGCGAAATAAGGAGGATGGATCATTTTAATGATTATATATAATAAATTATGAATTAATTATTTTGCTTGAT